TGGAGGCTGTTTTTGCAATTTGATTTGCCTGGGTTGCTCTATTTTGCAGAAAGACTCAAAATAAGAGGTAGATGGAGTCTTTACCCAATAGCCACCCAATATCCATGGCTCTGGAAAGGTCCAAGCCAAACTCATTAAAAGCCAGAGATGGGACCCAGGACAAAAGATCACCGAAGACTCTCAGATGGAGGCAGGAGTGATGAAGTTAAAGTAGAATATTTCCGCAGAAGAGTTTCTTCTCTCTCCATTCTCATGGCAGCTGCTTGATTCTGGATCACACAGGACTTGGGGGCTGCCCTCCCGGCCCTTCCAAGGCTGCCCTGCAAATGACATCGGCTCTTACTGTTCTGCAAACATGTTTGTAGACTTTGTTTCCTGTGGAGTTCCATTGTGATAACTTTCATCTAGGACCAAATTTCTACCCCGCTAGGGCTTCTTATGTCACAGAGTTTATGCCAAAAAAATGTTATCTCCCTGAACAGCTGTGATCCAGTTATACTGACGTTATACCCACCAAGTATACTTAAGCTGACCTCTCAGCTTTTGGGACAGGATGAAGTGTCTGTCACAGTCCTCAATACGAACCTGAATTTCACCTTCATTTTTGACACTATTTACAACCCTTTTGCCTGAGGAAATTAGCCTACTATGGTGATTAGACTGATATCTAATGGAATCTATCTTGGCAGCCCTTAGGATATTTTTTCTTAAAACATGCACCCTCCTGCTTCCAACAGTCTTTCCTTCCCCAGTTTTAATCTATAATCTTATGTATCCATTTGGAGTTTTTCGCCCATCAGAACAACACTGTTTTGTTTTCATGAAATGTTTTATCGGTTTCTTCCGTATTTTCATCATTAAATGCACTTGGGTTATAACTCAACTCGGTGCAGAAGCTGGCTTTTCACATCGTCATTAATAATTCACAAGCTCCATAGAATTACTTTAGGCCTTTTTAACCAAGTATCTTGAATCTTAACATCCAGTGTCATTTTAGCTTTCAGTTTAGAAAAAAAGATGATGCTGTGAGTGGCCCTGCTGTCTCAGGAGACCTTGAATAAGAGTTTTATTCCTTTTTCTTGTAAAGTTCAGGATGCCTGAAAAACCCGAGTGGAGAAAATGCTGCATATCAGAAGTAACAAAATCATGCCAGTTAAGTGACCTTCCAGACCGAGAGGCACCGTAGGGGTCAGAGAAGGAAATTTTCCGTCCCGGCCCATCACAGACACCTCTAAGGGAAGCACTCAAAGTCCAGGAGACACCTGGGGAGACCCCTGGATCGCTCACTAAGCCACGTGCATGCTTCTCCACAGCCTGTTAGGAAACCTCGGTGAGATCAGCTCTTACTGGGTTCAGACCTACCAGATCCGCCCGGCTGAGTGGGTGCGGAAATGTGCCCCGGTGCTGCGGTGATCTTGACGTTGATTCCCCAAAGAAGCCACGCTTAGAAATTTGAGGAGTGAACTGTTGAAGTCTGGGAATAAGGAAAACTTAGTATGTATTCTTCAGAGCTCTCTCTCAGTGGGCTAATTGGGGTTGGAGTTCTTTATTTTTCTTTCTCGTTTTACTTCATTCCTCTCTTTGTCTTTTAAGGTGAAGAGAGACTTGGTTTTTGTAGTGGGGGGAAGGCTTTTCTCTGGGTTGTTTCCTCGCAGTATCAATTTTCTGTTAAGTCCCATTGGCACCTGTACTCATGAAGCAGCGTCTGCGATCTGCTTCATTTAGAATCAAGGTGAATCCCTCTTCTTTCGGAATAGTGGGATGTTTGGAAGCTCTGGTACGTCCTGAAGAAATGAGGCCATTTCTTTTACAAATTCATGTTTTCATAAGATTAGGTGTTATTGAATGATAGAATAAGTTTTCAGCCCCTCTAATGTGTGTAAAACTGCTACACAGAACATTTCATGAATTTTGAGTAGCAAGAGAAATAAAAGAGGACTTTGCTCATCTGAGAAAGAAGGTTTTTTCTTTTTAAGATTTTATTTTTCCTTTTTCTCCCCCAATCGCCCCAGTACATAGCTGTATATTTCAGTTGTGGATCCTTCTAGCTGTGGCATGTGGGACGCCACCTCAGAATGACCTGATGAGCGGTGCCGTGTCCGCGCCAAGGATCCAAACCAGCGACAGCGTGGGCCACTGAAGCGGAGCACGAGAACTTAACCGCTCGGCCACGGGGCCGGCCCCGAGACAAGAAGTTTTTAATTAACCAAAAATATTTGAGTGCAGCTGATTCCACTGGAAATGTGTTAATTTTGAGACTGGTTGCTGCATTTCACAATTATATTTTGTTTGTATTTGTAATTGTGATGTGGCAGCTACTTTCTGCTTTTTAAAATCAAGTGATCTTTAACCAAGTGGATTCTCTTGCCTGCCCGGGGAAATGGCACCCCCAGGGGACAGGGCACAGGACGCTTTCACTGGATTGTTTTAGTGCAGTGCTTCTCAAACTGTAATGTGCATATGAGTCACCTGTGAATGTTTTTTAAACTTCAGATTCTAATTCAGCAGGTCAGGGGTGGGGCCTAACATTCTGCATTTCTGGGTTTTTTTGGTTTTTTTTTTGAGGAAGATTATCCCTGAGCTAACTACTGTCAATCCTCCTCTTTTTGCTGAGGAAGACTGGCCCTGAGCTAACATCCATGCCTATCTTCCTCCGCTTTATATGTGGGACGCCTACCACAGCATGGCTTTTGCCAAGCGGTGCCATGTCTGCACCTGGGATTCAAACCAGTGAACCTCAGGCCGCCGAGAAGCGGAACGTGCGAACTTAACCGCTGCGCCACCAAGCTGGCCCCAGATTCTGCGTTTCTGACAAGCTCCAGGGAATAACTGATGCTGCTGGTCCACAGACCATGCTGTGAATCACAAGATTGCAGAATTATCTTTATGTAAGAAATCCCAATTTAGTAATTCTGGAATTGGAGCGTGACAGTGGAATTAAATACGTGGGCATTTCTAAGGACAGGTCAGTGATTGAATCTGTGCCTTCATAAAGACAGAGCTCATGGCTCGTGTCCTGGTGGACGCATGTTTTTGTGCAAAGGTTGCATCCTTTGTGCCCTCTGCTACTCTTAGGAGCAAACTAATGAGCAGCTTGTATTTGAATTCCTTGAGAATGGAGATTATATTTTACTGTTTCAGTCTTCATATTCCTGGAGGCTAGCATAGGCCCAGCCACCTAATAGATGGCCAATTAGTGAGTTGAATTGAATCCAATTGAATTGATTGAACTTCAATCAGAACAATATAGAGATGACCTAGTTTTGTACCTTTAAAACCTCTTGTTTCCTCTTTAAGAGATTGATATTGTTTTTATGTACAAATTTAAAATTCTGTCAGCAATTTATAACTGACCAATATCCAGTGTTGTATTCTATTTAAAATTATTATTTTCTCTTAAAATGCAACATGAAAAAATAAATGAAAATACAAATTAAAGGTAGTGAAGATTCAAGAATCCCAAAGCCCTTTGATTCCTAGGAATAGTAAACAAAATTCTGTCTCCAATCAAAGGACTTTGGCGATCATTTCTTATTTAAGAATTGTATTCTAGGGATGAGAAAGAAGGCATTCCTGGACTATTTTGGCAGCTTCAGACCTCTTCGTCTCACTCTTGTTTGAATATAGGTTATTATTGAGTCTTTGATAAATTATGCAAATCCAAAATTTTACAAAATCTTGCATCCTAGAAGGATTATTTATAAATCATTGTATCAGTCTCAGCATGCATGAACAAACTTGAATGCTTTTTTTTTCCTGATTTCCTTTCTGTATTTGATTTTGCTTCTTTTATTTTTTTAACAGCTTTGTTGAAATCTTATTCATATACCATAGAGTTCACTCATTAAAAATCTACAGTTAGCTTTTAGTATATTCACAGAGTTGTGTATCTATCACCACAATCAATTTCAGAACATTTTCATTACTCCAAAAAGAAATTCTGCACTCCTTAACCATCCCTCCCCAATCCTTCCATCCTCTAGCCCTAAGCAACCACTAATCTACTTTCTGTCTCGGCAGACTTGCCTGTTCTGGACATTTCATGTAAATGGAATCATACAATATGTGGTCTCTTGTGACCAGCTTCTTTGAGTGCGATGTTTCACAGTTGATCCATGTCGTAGCATGAGTCAGTACTTCATTCCTTTTTATGACTGAATAATATTCCATTGTGTGGCTATAACACATTTTGTTTCTCTTCATTAGTTGATGGACATTTAGGTTGTTTCCACTTTTCAGCTGTTATGAATAATGCTGCTATAAACATTCATGTACAAGTTTTTGTGTGAAAATCTTTTTATTTCTCTTGTATATATACCTAGGAATGGAATTGCCAAGTCATATAATAAGTCTTTGTTTAGCCTTTTGACTTGCCAGACATTTTTCCAGCGTGACTGTAACGTTTTACATTCCCATCAGCAGTGTATGCAGTTTCCAGTTCCTCCACATGCTCTCCAACAGTTGTTCTGTCTGTGGCTGTATGATCATAGCCATCCTGCCGTCCGAGTGATAGTACAAGTGCTATCTCGTTGTGGTTTTGTTATGCGTCTCCCTGGTGACTAATGATGTTGAGCATCTTTTCATGTGCTTGCTGACCATTTGTATAACTTCTTTTGAGAAGTGTCTGTTCAGATACATTGCCCATTTTCTAATTGGGCTGTCTTTTTATTATTGAGTTGTAAGAGTTCTTTGTATGTTCTGGATACATTTCTTTGTCAGATATATGATTTGCAAAAGAAAACTTTCCCATTCTGTGGCTTATCTTTTCCCTTGATAGTGAAGGACAAAAGTCTTCAAATTTGATGAAATGCAATTTGCTTCTTTTTTCTTTCGTTCCTTGTGCTTTTGTTGCCCGCTTCAAGAAACCAGTGCCGAATGCAAGGTCATAAAGGTTTACACCTACGTTTTTTCCTGAGAATTTCACAGTTACAGCTATCACGTTTAGGTCTTTGATCCATTTTGAGTTAATTTTTGTATAAGATGTTCTTCTATTTTTTAAGTGCTGTGATCTTGGCTACCATGCGAGTCTGAACAGAGCCCTGAGGACCTACCTGTCTGCGGAGTATAACCTTGAAACCTCCAGACATGAAGGCTTAGACATCATTGAGAATGCAGTTGACAACCTGGAGCCCAGGAGTGATAAGCAGAGGTTCATGGAGATGTACCCTGCTGCCTTCTGTCCACCAGTGAAGTTTGAGTTTCAGTCTCACATGGGTGACGAGGTCAGTAATTGATTATTTTAAAACTAACAAATTGTCTGTTCACTGAGGTACTCTTCACCTGCTGTAACCCAACAGCTGTAAGAATTCCAGGTTGTTTTCTCTCTCCTGCCTTTGCACGGGATCTTAGTATAGGATGAGGCTAAAATCAGCCACTGCCCCCTTTTAAAGCAGAGGTCAAACACTCCAGTGCCTGCAGTGGCCAAACAGCTAGAGGTGTGAGCTCGGGTGGGTGTAAGCGCTCAATGGTCTCAGGATGGAGAGTTCCCCCTCCACCACAAGGCTTTCAGATTAGATTTGAAACAAAACATTTTGCTGGCCTGAGAGAATCTACCTGAAGACTTCTTATAATCCTGATATAAAGATCCCCAAAAGAAAAATATTGTAAATGGTAGGAAAATTGGAGAGAGGGAAAAAAAAAGTGCAAAACATTTTAAGACTCAAGTTGTCTTCAGACTAGTAAAATGAGCATTACAAATAATATATTATATCTCAGCTTCTTTATTTGACTTTAGCTGTCCTATTTTACTCAAGGAAAAAAATCTGTTTAAACCATTTATGAGTTATAGTGGTATATTGTCTGTGGACAGGGAGAAACAAGAACCAATTAATAGAGCATGCTATATGGCACTTGGTGTCCCAGCTGTGCAAAACAATACTCATAGATTAAAAACTCAATTTTAGCTCGTTGTGATGACAGTATGTTTTAAAAAATAGATGTAATTATAATATCCATGGCAGATTTCTTTAATGTCATAATTTTTTCTGAAACATCTAGTGTTAAGACTTATAAGCTATGTATGTGTGTGCCTGTTATGTTTCTAACTTAATTTTATTTTTCCTTGATTCAATAGAGTGAATTACTTGATTAGAAATGGTAGGTGGTTTTTATGCCAATAGCACATGAATTTGACAGGCAAGTGGCTTATCCCACCCAGAGTTATATTTCCAAAACCAAATGGCTTTTGTTTTAATTTTTTAGTTATAGCTATGGTAAACACAGCATGGTAAAATATCACAGACAAGTGTCTTCAATTGGGTTGATAGTTTTTTTTCCAGTATTATTATTTTAATAAAGTGAATCTGTTCTCCTTTTTTTATGACCAGTTCTGCCATCAGGCAATAATTTCTAATATTTTGGAGACTCCGTACAAGGAAACCCCCATATGCTGAGAGCATTTCTATGATAAGGAAGATAAGAAGAAATTATTTGTTCCCAGTACCATTTTAATACAATTAAAAGACCCTACTTTTGGCCTTATCCATAATGGAGATCTTGGCCAGAATATCTTTCTACTAAAGCCTAAGAGAAGTGGCCCCTTCAAGTCCCTGGTGAATCAGGGGACTTGGCTGATATTGGCATGGCAAGCTGTGGTTGAAAGATGCTAAAAATGGATAGTCACGTTTTCTGAGTTTTTTCCTGTGTGCCAGGTCGTGTTCTAAGTGCTTTGTGTACATTGTCTCACTTCATCCCCACAACAGCCCTGTGCTGTAGAAACGCACTAGCCTCATTCCTTACAGATAAGGAAACTAAGGGTTAGTAACTTACACAGCCCTCAGCCCCCTGGAACCAGTAGGCCCTGCTGCCTGCCTGCCTTTTGCCTGTATGGTCCACTGGGATCATCCTTTGCATCTGCCCTCCACCCCACGGTCCTTAAGAATTCCTCAAGTGAGGTGTCCGCGTCAGACTCCCTTCCCAGCGGCTGCCCATTCTTAGAGCGGTGCTTCCTGCAGCTGCTGTCTTCCCAGTCGTGTCCAGGCCAGGCAGCTGCCTTCTGCTCTTGTCACTGACATCACAGGCCCGTTTCTAAAACTGAAGTTTTGAGGCAGCTGTTCGAAGTAAATATGGCATCGGAATCTTGAGGGCATTGGCGTGATTCCCGCAGCCCTTAAACAGGGGATGCGCACCTCGGGGGGCGGGCTGGCTGGGCCCTGTTGTAATGGCCGTTTCTGATTCCCCATCAGGTGTGTCAGGTCAGCGCCCAACAGCCGGTCCAGGCTGAGCTCATGCTCAGGTACCAGCAGCTGCAGTCCCGACTGGCCACTCTCAAAATCGAGAATGAGGAGGTAAGCATGCTCTGTGCCCCACTAGTAAGATGAAGTCTAGTGTATGACCTAGGCATAGTTGACATTCTAAATGCAATCTCTTTGTCATGCCTTTTCAGCTAAATTTGGGTTCCTAAAATACTCTTTCTAGAGGATAAATGCAAAGATTCTGTATTCTACCATAGATAAGTACTTTATCAGGGAGTCACTACATACACACATAAACACACCTTTTATTCTTAAATGGGCACTTCATACTGAAAATAGTTACCATAGATTATCAAATTCAACATATGTATCTAAGAATATACAGTAATGGGTGGAATGCAACTTTTGACTGACAGGTTAATTTAATCCTAACTTTTGATATTAGTACTTTTTTTCTTTTTGGTCAGGAAGATTGGCCCTGAACTAACATCTGTTGCCAATCTACCTCTTTTTGCTTGAGGAAAATTGTCACCAAGCTAACATCTGTGCCAGTCTTTCTCTGTTTTATATGTGGGATGCTGCCACAGCATGGCTTGATCAGTGGTGTGTAGGTCTGCACCCAGGATCTGAACCGGTGAACCCGGGGCCACTGAAGTGGAGCGTACGAACTTAACCACTACACCACTGGGCCAGCCCCAAGATATTAGTAACTTTTTTATGCTTTTTTGTATTCTCTAGGTTTTTGTTGCTGAACATGGCATCCCTGAGATAATTAGTACAAAAATCCTATTTTAAAATAATACTTGAATGAGAATAGAAAACTGTTTATTTGCCGACCTTAGTGGATTTAAATGGATAGAACATAAAATGTAGATTATAAATATATGTTAAGCCAGAAAGCAGTCGTACAGTTCAGCTGCCTGTTTCTGAAATTAATTTAATTGGATCCACATTCTTCTTAAATAAAACATGAACCACAGATGTTTCTTGTATTAGTCAAGGCTCTCAGTTGTAATTTACAAGAACCCAAATCAAACTTACTCAAGTTAGAAAGTTTACTTACTGGTCAGTGTTTGCCATAGCCTCGGGCATGATTGGCTCTGTGTTCAGCTGATATTATCAGGACGCTCCCTCTGTTCATCACTTTGAAGTACTATCTCCATGTGTGTTGGTAGGAGCTTTTCCTCCAGTACTGGGAGAGTCAGGACCACATGGTCCCTGCAGCTTACCATCTCATGTCATCCCAGTATCCTTGTCTCTGAAATAGGCTCCTTCTTGGGCCTGCCTTCAGTCTTGCATACTTCTGGACCAACAGATACATCCAGGAAATGGGGTTCTCTCAATGATCCACCTAGATATTGTGCCCACTCGTAGAACCCTTTGATTGACAGCCCCAACAGGAATATGTATTTATACAGACAAATAATTCCCAAAAGGAAGGAATGTGGGACAGAAAAAAACACAATAATTCACCTTGGTAAAATGAATTATCAAAATTCACTTTAGTACCTTGTCTTATTTTAATTCTACTGGGATGTCTTGAGTTATGTGAATGTGTGTTTGTTTCTGTTAAGAAAGAGTGATCTGTTTCTAGACCGCTATAGTTTGGTCAAAACCCATTGTAGCTTTCTGGCTTCCATTCTTCCTAAAAGAACCAAAACACCCCTTATTCAAACATGTGTATTCAAAATACAACCAGTGTGATTAAGACTGCAGTCTTTGTGTGAAGTCCCACAAATGAGCCTTTCCAGAGGAAAGCTGCTGCTCTCCTGGAGATGTTTTAGACTTAGGATTTTGGCGAGGCATTGCAAAAAACTCCCCTAATGCGGTGTACTGGATTCTGGTAGATCTGTGGTTTGTATGTCTAGTGACTTCCAATTTTTTTTCATGTGTATCCTCCTGCTGTTTTATTTGGAAACATTCTCTAAATTCTAGGAAAAAAGTGTGTTATATACGAGGTCAAAGCTGGCAGCTCACAGACCTGCTTTGCTTGTCTCCTACAGTTGTGCCGGTTAAAAACAGGGAGTCTGGCAGCTCTGGCCCTGCGTTGCCTCATGAAGGCAAGAGCTGGGGTATTTGAATTCTATTTTGCCCTAGTCGTTCAGCTCCCAATTTTCTTACATTGGACTCGTCCATTTCTGTTACCTGTCTGGCCTCTGTAGGCCTTTGAGTTTGTGACCCTTAATGTATGCCGCTTTGGGCACAATGTGGAGAAGCACAGTGCCCTTATGAACTGATAGAGGCAGGCAATGCTTTCTGAGGGTTCGTTTTTTAAAATTTACCGTAGAGACAAATGAATTGGGTTGTCCACATGTGTCTTGTGAGCATGATTCGTGGTTTATGATTTGTTGGATATGAAACAAATTCGCTCTGGTGGATTGGGATTCCCAGTGAAAGTCAAATTGAAATTGGATTTTCGACAGTCAGTAGGTTTCCATAAGTATTGAAGGAGGAAAAGGTGTTTCAATATAGTTCAAGGCTGGAGAATAGGGCACTTTGATTATCACCCAGGTTCTCCTTGGGGATGAGCCAAAGGTGAAGCCAAAGTCATATGACAAGAGCCAACTCCAGGAGTGTTAGATACTGTGGGCCAGCTCATTTCAGTACAGTAAATCTTTGTGGAGCGGCTTCTGCTTTCCGCATATTTTGCCAGGTGTGGAGAGTACAGAAATGAATCAGTCACAGTTAGCGTCTGTCTAGCATAAGAGCCAGACTGTAACAAGTCATTTCTATCATGTGGAAAATAAGAGACGTAACTTGGGAACAACATAGCAATCATTGCTAATTGGGAGTCCTGTGCAGCACTTTTCTCTACCATATAGAAAGAATTTGCTTGTGATCTTCCACCGATAGAAAGACAGAAAATTGACACATTGGTTTCAAACCAAAATATACAAGTAAAGAAACATGTCTGATTCTCTGCCTCTGCACAAACATATACACACTCATAAGGTCCAAAATTAGCTGGAAAGAGTTCACTTAACTAAAAATAATTATGACTGCCCAGTGGAAAGATCAAAGTTAAGAGAGAATTTCATCCAAGTTTACAAAAGTGCAGATAGTACAGCTGAGTAGAACATGAACCTTTTAACCAAATCTTAAATAACTACAAATAATGGGCACCATGGGAAACTATGGGGAGCCTTTTTAGAAAGGAGTGTCCATGCTAAGAGCCCACAGACCATATTTGGCCATGAATAAATTTTGTTTGCTCTACAGTGCTTGATTTTTAAAAATTAGTTGCTGTCATTTAAAAATTGGAAGTTTTAGCTAAAAATATTGATTTCTAGCTTCTAAAAAATTAGAAAGTCTGATCACACTAGACCTACATTTCTGGAGGTCAGTTACTAGCTTGAGCTGAACAATAGATGCTCCCCTTAGACACAGAGTATGTTCTTCTGTTTGCCATGCTCCCCACTCAGCCCACTTGCCTCATTTTCATTCTTTGCTTGGTGCTTGAAGATGTTTGAGTTTGCAGCACCTGCCTAAAACAGAGAGGGCAGTAAGCATTTGTGAAATGGCCTCAGTATACTCATAAGTAAAGGTTTGAGATGGGCTTGAGTAAATTTGTGGTTGATGCACATTCATAATGGTTTAAGACATTTATTGTCACTTCACAACTTTATGTTTGCCTGTTAAACCTTTTAAAGTGAGCTTTCACTTTCATTATGCTTCAAACCTGCATCAGTGGTACCTCAGTCTTACAATTCCAGCCTCCAGTCAACAAATATTTCTCAGTGTCCACTGTGTATTGTGCATCGAACTAGGACAGGGCCTGCTGCCTACACGACTTTATTCCCCATTTTTTGTTTTCCTTTTCTGAAAAGTTTAGAAAACTGTTTTTACTTAACTGTAAAAAGTTAAGAAAACTGGAAAGTTTTCTTAAACTCTGAAGTGCAACATTAATAAACGCTACGTTTAAAGGCAACGCTTTAAAAGCAACCTAAATCTCAATGATCCTTTATACCTTTCTCGCTGTGAATATTTTCCAAACTCCTCCCAACCTAATGTGACACAGTCTTGTCCACTTTCTCGAAGTTTACCTTTAACCTTTGTCCTGGGGTTTTCAGCCTAGGGGTGATTCCTGTTGCTCCTTTCTTTCGCAGCCAGCCTTTGGAGTAATTCCCCCGAGACTGCATTTCCTTTGCTTAGAGTTTCTCCTTCCTGCCCTTATTATACACAGTGAAGAAAAAAAGAAAACTGAAGTGCATGAGTAAAGCAATTGTCTTTCTTTTTTTTAGGACAGCCCTCCTCTTAAGCAATTTGCCCCATTTTCAGACCACTTGTCCCAATATTTGGTTGAGAAAATAGAGCTTTTGTAAGCATGTCATTTCTGTGCTGTGAGTAAAACTTTCTCACTTCTAAAACAACTAGTCTGTCTTAAGTTATGGTAGATTTATCCTCCTGAATTGAATGCAAAAGAGAGAAGCCTATAATTAATTCCTCAGTTAATTTTCAACAATGTTTAGTGAACATCTAGATTTTACCAGCATCGCTTAAAATCTTTCACCAACAGTTTACTAGGGAGTACTTCACAGGCTATTCCAAAAATGAATTCCTTACACAGGACATTTTCAACAATAATGAACAAGATTTTAGGCAAACATTTGAGACCATTTTCATGGCATGAATAATTGAGGGAAGTAAGAAATATTTTGGCTATACCTCCTACCTAGGGTAGAAAAATTGCATTGCCCCCCAGATTTCCCGTAGCACAGTGACTGCAGCTGAATCCCAAGTCATGTAAATCAGAGATCAAACCCTTATGGGCAGCTGTCAGATTCTTTTAAGACTTGGTATAAGATGTGAGCTTGATAACCGTTTAATCACAACTGCTGTTTCTGATCTTCTCTGTGGCTTTAACTTCATTTTTACTTATTTGTTTCTTACTTGCCTGCAGCAAGTTCAGGTTGACAGCAAAGCCTAAGTAAAAGATAACTGCCATTTATCTCTTAAATGATAGCAGCATCTTGGCCAAAAGTGAAAGCAGGATCAACTATCTTTCATTGAAAACACGTATTTTTGGAAACAGTATGTATCTATCTATTTTTTGTTTCAAATAAGTTTTAACTCGCTGGGCCTTGATTCAGAAG